TCGGTCTAGACGTCCCAGGTAAATGCCCTGGTCAGATGGATGGTCGTGTCTGGGTGTCAGACGGCCGTAATTGGTCAGGCGTTTGATCCTTGGGTCCGTCGTGCTCCACAAGCTTGATCCTTCGGTCAGACGGATTACGTCAGGCGCCGTCGTGGTCCGGCGCTCGTGCGTGGTCACAAGCTTGGGTGGTCAGACAGATTACGTCAGGCGCGGTCCGAACTCTCCACAATATAGTTCCATGGAGAGCCACTGAAATATCGTACAGCAGCTTAAAATACATTAAGATCAATTAATTCAATTCTGGTTTATTCATAGCTCTAAATAATTGCACCAGATGACCAGTTCACATTTTTGTCGACCAGGTAAAGTATGAAGTCCAGGCATTCTATAAGATGATAAGTTAATGTTTTTGCATTTGCACGTGGAAGGCTGCGCAGGAGAGTGTGGGCGCGAAGGGGGTCTCAGTCTCGTTACACTATGGGACGATCGTATCAACATCTCACCTATATGCTAGCGACACGAGGACTGTGTAGAGCAGACATGCTACACTGCTAAACCATCTCCAACTACGCTACCTACGTAAACTTCTTTGCATGACATGGCAGGACAGAGTCCCTGATACAGTGGTCCTACAACGGGCCGATTGTATCAGCAAACCCCATGCTCCAACAAAAAGGACAAGCCAGATGGGCAGGGCATGTCGCAAGAATGCCAGACAGCAAACTTCCCAAACGACTATTGTTCGGTGAATGCTGCAGTGGGAAGCGCTAAGTTAGTAGGCAGAAAAGAAAACGCTTTCAGGACTTTCTAAAGGTTTCACTAAAATCCATGGACATTGACTATGATTCGTAGGAGACACTTGCCATTGACCGTGAAATCTGGCATTGGCAGACTCATTGTCGGAGTAAAATCCTTAGAGAACAAGCACACCGCTCATGCCCGAAAAAGCCGCATGGCAAGGACAGCAAAATGAAAACAGATCCTTCTCGGACCTGAAACGACGTGTGTCCCAGGCGCAGGTGGGGCTTGCAGGCCCCCTGCGTACTCACCGTGTAAAATAGCCTTGGACATCTTCGCTCGCAAACGAAGAACAACTACAAAACAACAACAGTTAATATGTATCATGCCTTAGGTATTCCACGCTTGGTCAAGAATCGTCAGACATTAAATGGGATGCCTAGGTATTCTATAGAATTTCTGCCAGGGCTAAGTCAAAGTATGTAAGAAGACACAAAGGGATACCATAGGGCTTTTTTTTAGTTGTTTTTGTTTTGTAATTTATTGCAGCAGTCTGAACTTGAACGCCATTTTGAATTACATAGCTTGATTTTTAAATCACCAAAACATTTCCTGTAACACTTGGTGTTACACATTCTGTAACACTTTAAAAAATCCTTGTCCAGTTCAGTAGACCCTGTTGTTGCAGCTGTTCTGAGTGAGATTATTCATCCGTCGTCATGCCTTCTAGTGTCAATTTTTGGTAATTGTATGTGTAACACCACGTGTCAAAAGAGATAATGCTTTTGTAAACAACAAAACCATTATGTAAAAACTGTTTATCAGAAGACTTAATAATTTAACTTAAAATGTTTTTCCCCAGTTGTTTATTCATTAAAAAATAAAATTAAGCAGAGATCCATTTAAGATAATATAAGATTATTTTATTGATCCAAACAAATGGAAATGTTTTTTTTTTAATACATTGCACATTTTCATCACATAAATAAAACAATTTGAACACAAGAGATCTATATTAAACTATTTCATGTTAATCTATATCCCGTCAGGCATTCTATAGAACGACTGGGCAATGTGTGCAATGTCTTATGTATCTCACACTTTGACTAGCATTGTCAGGGCTTCAATAGACAGCCTAGATGACACATTTTGCCTGCCAAATGTCAGGCTTTCAATAGACAGCCTAGATGACACATTTTGCCTGCCAAATGTCAGGCTTTCAATAGACAGCCTAGATGACACATTTTGCCTGCCAAATGTCAGGCTTTCAATAGACAGCCTAGATGACACATTTTGCCTGCCAAATGTCAGGCTTTCAATAGACAGCCTAGATGACACATTTTGCCTGCCAAATGTCTCGCTTTCAATAGACAGCCTAGATGACACATTTTGCCTGCCAAATGTCAGGCTTTCAATAGACAGCCTAGATGACACATTTTGCCTGCCAAATGTCGGGCTTTCAATAGACAGCCTAGATGACACATTTTGCCTGCCAAATGTCAGGCTTTCAATAGACAGCCTAGATGACACATTTTGCCTGCCAAATGTCTCGCTTTCAATAGACAGCCTAGATGACACATTTTGCCTGCCAAATGTCTCGCTTTCAATAGACAGCCTAGATGACACATTTTGCCTGCCAAATGTCTCGCTTTCAATAGACAGCCTAGATGACACATTTTGCCTGCCAAATGTCTCGCTTTCAATAGACAGCCTAGATGACACATTTTGCCTGCCAAATGTCTCGCTTTCAATAGACAGCCTAGATGACACATTTTGCCTGCCAAATGTCTCGCTTTCAATAGACAGCCTAGATGACACATTTTGCCTGCCAAATGTCTCGCTTTCAATAGACAGCCTAGATGACACATTTTTCCTGCCAAATGTCTCGCTTTCAATAGACAGCCTAGATGACACATTTTACCTGCCAAATGTCTCGCTTTCAATAGACAGCCTAGATGACACATTTTGCCTGCCAAATGTCTCGCTTTCAATAGACAGCCTAGATGACACATTTTTCCTGCCAAATGTCTCGCTTTCAATAGACAGCCTAGATGACACATTTTTCCTGCCAAATGTCTCGCTTTCAATAGACAGCCTAGATGACACATTTTACCTGCCAAATGTATAACAATACGACAAGAAGTTTCTCTTGATCATAAAAAGTAAAATGTAGAAATGTTTTTTTTTAAATTAAAGTTTAAATTGATTGTTAACGTAATATTTAACATTCAAAATCGTATTCAACTGTATTCAGATATGTGTCAATATATTCAATTACGTATATTTTCGTACTAGTCTAATTTTCTATCATTGGAAATTTTGTGTTCCATTTACTTATCTTTCTATAAATAAAATTTGATACATTTTCTGCTGAAGATTTATAGAAAGATTTCTGAGCAAGTTTCCAATTCTTTAAAAATCAATCCTTCTCCGAATGGATCACTTTTAGCTACATAATATACTCCCACTCACCTCACACCAGATACCTCACAGCCCACACCGCACACCCTACACCTCAAACCCTACACATCACACCCCAAAACTCACACACCACTCTTCAAACCCTACACCTCCTACACCACACATCACACCTCACTCATCACACCTAAGCCTCACACCCTACTCGTCACACCCCAACGTCACACGCCACACTTCACATCCCACACATCACACCTCACAACAACCCAAGTGTTATGATTGTTGTACCATGCATTAGCCTGGCCAGAGCTTTTAACTGCAGGCCTCCATTTGCCTGGTACACCAATGAACAACCGCTGCAAACAGTCGAGCAGCCCCCTTCCGCCCTTTCCCACAACGCCCACAATAAACAACAGGATTGGTTGCCGAGGAGAAAATGGCGATTTCGCTAAATGTTGAATCTAGGTTGACTCTGTCTCATTTCATGTTGCTGCCGCTATTGTGATTATAGAGTGAGTAAAACTATTAGTTAATAATCTTATTTTATTTGGTTAATTTTCATTTAATTCATTGTTGTAGAATCATAAATTTAGAACATTACATAATATTTAGGAATTAATCAACTCTTTAAAATTGTATTGATGAAAGTGTATCTATTATTTCTTCGATTATGACTAATGCTAAATTGTTGTCAAGAAGGCGTTATTTTAATTTCCTCTTTTAGCTTCAGCAGCAAATGCTCTCGTTTGAGTGAGGCTTATGTATTCGAAAATTGAGTGATATCGAAGCTTCATGGACATTTGCTGACATAAATACACTCTTGGACGCTTCATGTGTACATGGTAAACAAGGTTTTCCCCTACGTCCTCTGAAATTTAACTCCAAATATTCGTTTAAAAGAGGTTGACATCTAGGATGACCACGAACTTCTCCGAATGCAGCATCATCTGCAGCTCATTTCGATTTCACGTGGAAGATATCTTCGCAGACCCGAGCGCGGTAGCTACAGCGTCAGTTCTAATGGCTGTCCTTACAGCCTTTACTCTTTTTGCCAACAGCGTCATTATTCTCGCAATGACGTGGTCCAAGAAAAACAGGCCCGCGAAAGCAAGGTCCAATAATGAGATACCCAGACATTTGATGACGTCGCTGGCGGCCTGCGACCTGGTCTGGGGTGGCGTCGGGATGACGTTGGGTGTCGCCGAGGTCGCGGAGAACGGACGGTGGATTTTCGGACCGATGGTGTGCGTTTTCCGACTGTACGTGACGTATGTGTGGGTCAGCGTCTCCGTGTACCACGTCAACTGCTTGGCCGTGGACAGATGCCTGGCCATATGTAAACCCTGGCTGTACAGGTCACTGACCAACAAGACAGGGTATTTCATGGTAGCCGTGTCTTGGGTAGTTCCAGCGGCTCTATGCATTGGAACCGTCAGTGATGTCATCACTGGAACGGAAACTGATAAGAACACTACCTGTTTCATCACTGATTTGGAATGTATGAAGCGCTTAAAGACATTTTCCTATGGACTCTCTATATTTCTCGCGTTTTACGGACCCTTTCTGTGTCTATATTTACTAAACACTTTTCTTATGATTAAAGTTAACTTCATTCTTAAAAAGCGGGAGAGGTTATTAAATAGATACGCCACAGATAATAACAACATAACTGAACAGCTCCATGGCCCAAACTGTTCCAATAGAAATCAAACAATTGAGACGCCCAAAAGAAGGTACGTTTTTCATCGACGTAATTCACGTGACTTTGTCGATGACATGAAGACAGGCAATCATGACGTCGCGAAAATATTTGGGCACGAGTGCAAAGAAGAGGTCAAGCTGGACACTTGGAACTCGGGAACTTGTGCCCGACAATCTAATCGCACAATGAACGCGCCAGAAAGTATCGACACCAATAAACCGTACGGTCAAGTCTCGGGCAACGGGCATCCGAAATCAGGCCAAGGCTCGGGAAACATAAGGGCATTTAAAACAGTGGGCATTCTGGTAGTTGGTTTCACTGTTTGCTGGTGTCCAGCGCTGGGCATCGTGTGTCTCTATTTCAACCTGTTGGAGGGGCTCCCACCTCATCTTACGGTTGTATTGTGGATGTCCTACATCAACACGGCCGTCAACCCGTTCTTGTATTGCATGAACAGATCAGTCAGACAGGCAGTGAAGAGACTGCTGGAACGAGTTTATCACTTGTATCATTGTGTCGGCCTGACGGCAGTCTAACGGATGTAAGAAATAGATGCAAATTAATAAGAATCCATTACGCAAAGAAAGCCTGCGAATAATTGTAGATGAACACTTTGAGAAGCCATAGAATTTTTAAAGGAATGTAGACGTTACTTTAAAATATTTTATTGTGATTTATTTTTGAAAATATTTCCTACACTGAATTTCTAGGCGTAATGCATTTTAAGAAAATGTAAATTATTTTTAAAATTCTTAGTACTTTTTGACAAGAAAGTTTTTTTTTTTTTTAATTTTATTTTTTTGGGGTTAAACTTCATTTTCTATTTATGAACATTACAATTTTAATCTTTAAATTATTGCACAAATTTAAGTATTTACATTTTGAAACGTGGAATGCTTCCGAAATCCATTTTAATGTTACTTAACTGTTTACATAGTCTCATTTGTATCTTTATGAATATGTGAAGCGCTGATGGCAGACAATTAGTATTTTAAAAAAAAAACACTAAAAGGTAGATCAGAGCCCAGCCATCCACCCTTCCATTCAATTCACAAGCCACGGTCAACTACTGTCATTGGAACGACAGTGTCCACCCACCTCCGTCGACTAAGCATTCTTTTCCAGCCGCTCAGCAGGTAAACACTGCAAGAGAAATCTTCAAATGTCCCTTTTTTTGAAAACAAAAATAACGCTTCTTCCACACACTCGCAAACATTATGAACATTCGAGTTCAGAGAAAGTCTTTAAAATTTTATTAACTGAAAAAGTAAATACATTATTTCTAATCAAGCGCTAATAAATTATGTATATATAAAATTACACATTTAATAAATTCAAATTTCTGTTCGGATGTCATTAAGATTCAAAGTACTAGCAATCACCTTTTTTTTTTACCTCTAATTTAAGACCACACTTGAAATTAATTTTCGAAAAGCTAAATAGCATTGATTTATTTTTAGAAAAAATATTGCTAAAACCATTTGTATCGAAATTCTACTAATCATAAAGGCAAACTTGAAACTGGTTTGAATTAGCAAAGGCCACCGGCTATCATACTTATTCTGTTCAAAGTACACTTCACTGCACTGTTAGTTCCCTCGACAAACTGAGGTACAAGATGACACACATTTTTCGACCCTTCTCGAAGCCAGCACAAATAGAATTTGGGTTTTAGTATAAGAAATGACACGCTAAGGGTTCTAACGAAAATATCAAATCTTTGATTATAAGGGGGAGGTAATAATTCCCCGCAAAATAAGTTTAAGTTCTTGAATATTATTCTCAAGTTCTTTAACAAAAAATAGTCGCATGAAACTGTTTTAAATTCTTTCTTTTGTTACCAGCAAAATCACAGAGTCTCAGAAGCTTCGCGGCAGACCTATCTCATCTCTCTAGAGACGTCCTTTTGGGTAGGGCAGGGCAGAGCATTAGCTCCATCACCCCCTGAATGTACAGGTTTTACTTTAACTTCTATGTACTGTGGCGCCTTCAGTAATAAACAACTTAACAAGCCAACCAAGTTTTGGTTACCCCCCACCCCATTGAAAAAAAACCTGAACTGACACCCCTGCATTTCGCCTACTGCTGTCCGCTGCACACACGTTGAGAACCTCTTGTTGAGACAATATACAATATTACAGTTTTTTAACATTAACAACAAATATATATTGTGATATAATTGCGTTAATAAAAATACATTCGATATTGTAATTGATTAATGGACTAATGTCTCTTTTACTCTTTTCTTGGTGATGTGAATTCAAGAAATGAATGCGAGTTTAACTTATGCAGCGTCGGCTACTGTGTTGAGTTGATGATTTTAAGCCCGCAGGTATATTTGAGTAGAAAAAAAAAAGACAAATGCAATCCTTGGCATTAAAGATGTCTGGCAATAATGACGTCAAAATGGCACACACAACAATAAGAAAATTATTAGAGTAGACTCTCGCGCTCAATCTCTCTCTCTTCTCTATCTCTGTCTCTCTCTCTCTCTCTATCTCTGTCTCTCTCTCTCTCTATCTCTGTCTCTCTCTCTCTATCTCTCTCTCTCTATCTCTGTCTCTCTCTATCTCTGTCTCTCTCTCTATCTCTCTCTCTCTCTCTATCTCTGTCTCTCTCTATCTCTCTCTATCTCTGTCTCTCTCTATCTCTCTCTGTCTCTCTATCTCTGTCTCTCTCTCTATCTCTGTCTCTCTCTATCTCTCTATATCTCTCTCTATCTCTGTCTCTCTCTCTATCTCTCTCTGTCTCTCTATCTCTGTCTCTCTCTCTCTATCTCTGTCTCTCTCTCTCTCTCAAACAAAAATGCAAAAGTTTCATCAAGGTGACTGGGACAACCACAGCACTGATATAGGATAGAGACAATGTCAACCAAAGCACAACCAATGATGCCATGCTAGTGGTTAACCCTAATGATAAGCGACGGCCGTTAGTCTGCTGCCTGGGGTGAGGGGGTCGGGCCGAGGAAAAACTTTCACTAAACCCATTTCGGGACAAGGAGGTGGGTGAAGTGGGTGGGGGGGGGGGAGGAGGGCCAGGTTGTCGGTGGCACTATTGGTGTCAGTAAGCTCTGGTCGCCAATTTACTTATAAATTTTTCTAGATTGGGGTAAGGGCATCAGACAAAATACCATACGTAATCAGAGCATTGACAAAGCAAATGTTTTGTCATTATGGACCAGATAGCGGGGATTGTGAAAGATTGCAATTCAAACCAATTTAAACTGTTGACTGAATACACACGGTGGAGGTCTAGCGTAGATTTCACCATTGATGACAGAAGTGTAAACCAACACCGATCATCAAAGCCTCACACCGGGCTACAAGGTTGTGATAATGTAATGGCATTTCAAATATTAACCCCTCTGTAATGTGGTGTTGAGTAATGTTTAGAAAGTAATACAAACATTTAATATTTCATTAAAGATGGTGGAGCGGGAGAAAATAATTTCATATCTTCCTAGTTAATAGTTGAATAAGACATAAGACTTTCTAGTGTATAGTTGAATAAGACATAAGACTTTCTAGTGTATAGTTGAATCAGACATAAGACTTTCTAGTGTATAGTTGAATAAGACATAAGACTTTCTAGTGTATAGTTGAATACGAATTTCTAGTGTATAGTTTAATAAGAATTCCTAGTTAATAGTTGAAAAAGACTTTCTAGTGCATAGTTGAATAAGAATTTCTAGTGTATAGTTTAATAAGACTTTCTAGTTAATAGTTGAATAAGTCTTTCTAATGTTTAGTTGAATAAGACTTTCCAATGAGTAATTGAATAAGTCTTCTCTTCTTCTTCTTCTATATCTTAAGGGCCCACGATCAATTTATTGATCATTTTGGCTCCTATGCATGTAGATGGGATTTGCTATACACTGCTGTGTCATCTGCAAACAGTCTTGCCTGTGATGTCAGTTTCTCCGGTAGGTCATTAATGTATGCTAGGAACAAACAGGGGCCCAGGACTGATCCCTGGGGGACCCCTGACTTCACATTGACAAAGGAGGAGCTTGTACCGCCCACCACTACTGCTTGGCGTCGGTGGCTGAGGAAGCTAGAGATCCATGTTTTAGTGGTGCCTTGAATCCCATATATCTTTCTAGTGTATAGTCTAATAAGACTTTCTAGAGTCTATCTGAATAAGTCTTTTTGTGTGTAGTTGAATAAGACTTTCTAGTGTATAGTTGAATAATACTTTTTAGTATATAGTGTAATGATACTTTCTAGTGTATAGCTGAATAAGTCTTTCTAGTATATAGTAAAATTAGACTTTCTAGTGTATAGTTGAAAAAGACTTTCTAGTGTCTAGATGATGAATAAAATTTTCTAATGTATAGTTGAATAAGACTTGTAAGACGTTTTGATGTTATGCTGAGACATTGCCTGTCTCAACTGAGACTAAGACAAGTTTGCGGTAGTCCGGAACAACAGGAAGCAGAGCTATTTTGCCCTGACAGTTGCGCAACTAGGAAGCTAGAGAGAAGTTATGACGATTTTCTTCAAAACACGAAGAGTGACATTTCTCTTGGAAACATTCGAGTTTCATTAGAGCAGCTGAGAATAAAAAAACAAAAAAAAAAAACAACAAACAAATGATATTCTTAATACATAAGAAAACGCTGCCATAGTTCAACTATGTTTCTGGACGGAGACGTCACAATGAATAGCTCTATCTCAGTATCAGTAAGTGTTCTTTGTCTTTCAACAATACAATAATGTTAATTTTAGTGACTTTTTCGGAATGGCTCTCGCTTCAGGTATCATGGCCCTGATAACGTTTTTAGAGGCATGTTTTAATTTTATTGTTTCAGCGTAAAACGGGACAAGAAACGGGATCTAGCCTTAAAACAAATAGATGCAATAACACGATCTGTACTATGATAATTATATCACTAGCGGTGTGTGAACTTCTGTGCGGCGTCTTCGTAAGGTGCCTGGGTGTTTTAGAGGCTTTAGATAATGGAAAATGGAACCTTGGTGCCAAATGGGGCACCGTTCGAGAACTGTTCAATAATCTCACACGGTCCTCGTCGATTTATCACGTAAATGCGTTTGACTGTCGACAGATACCTGGCCGTGTGTAAACCATTGATTTACAGGTCCTTAACCAACAACGCAGGAAATTTAGTGGTCACCGTTTCGTGGATAGTTCCATTATCCATGTTTATAATCTAAACGGTAGTATTTGTGGATGATGCTCAGTCCATATCAGAGGGTATCCGTCAAGGTAACTATGTGGTCTTGGTTCGTCTTTTTCTAGGAATCCTTGTTTTCTAAGCCCCGTTTTTGACATCATACTTTCTTTACGCCATGATCCTTCCAAAAGTTAGAACCTTTCATAAACGACGTGAGAACATGAGAGCATTCGCCCAGCAGCCATGTTGTGAAAATGTAATCGGGAATTCCAAAAATGTCGCGGAGGCTGTCCAAGTCATGTCCATAACTTCAGAAGATAATAATAATAATTAGTGGTCTTATATAGCGCAGCACCCCAGCCTAGGGCTGGGCTCACCGCACTGAACATAAAAATATTATCTAAAAAGAGACATAATCATGACATTAAAATAAAATACATTTATGAAATAAAGAACAACGTGTAACCAAAACAACAAAACATATGTATATTTACCCACCCCACCCCAGAAATTTTACATCGCTAACCATAGACGGCAGCCAGCAGGCTCGTTTATCGGTCAGAGGAGGGGAATCAGTCAGGGTAGTATAGTTTAAAGAGATGTGTTTTGAGTGCAGTCTTGAAGGCCTGGATGGTTGGTATATTGCCGATGTGTAGTGCCAAAGAATTCTATCGTTTGAGGGCGCAGAAAAAGAAAGATCATTCACCATATTTTTTAGTGTGTGCCTTGGGAAAGGAGAGAATACGGGTATCTGCGGAGGAACGAAGCTGTCGAAGGGGTGAATAGACAGAAAGAAGTTCAGGTAGATGGGAAGGGCAGGAATCTGATAAAAAGTTGTGACAGAGAACAGACAACTTATAGTCAATGCGTGCCTGTATAAGGAACCAATGAAGGAGTGGAGTAGTGGAGTGACGTGATCACGTTTTTTGCCTTTATATCTAGATCATGACAAGCTCAGTTCAAATTGCAAAGACATTGTGACAGCGTCATCGCGTCAAGTCATAAAAGCTGACGAGTCGTCGAAACTTACCTTAGCTACAGAAAGCGGAACTCCCATTGCGACATGCTCCAAGAAAATAGCATCCAATACCACATCTGCATCCAACCCGGAAGCTTGTCATCTGAAGACGTTTCACTGTCAGCTTTCTTGTTCAACGGACCACGGAAAAAAAGCGCATCGTATGAAATGAAAAAGACTTCCAATGCAGAACTAGGACGACGTACAAGACATGGGCTGGTCACCATTGAGAGCGAAAACAACCCCGCGTCCCGACACCAATCAAATCAAACGTTGCAACGGCTTCAAATAAAAACGCCAAGGCTTCCCGCACTGTGGGCTGTCTGGTCATAAGTTACACGGCCTGATGGTTTCCTTTGTGGACGACACTATTCCTGGACGACGGCTACCAGGGTGGTACTGGGGTTGTGTTGGCGTGTTTGGTCCACTCCAATGATGTCATCAACCCGCTGCTCTGATGTGGTGACGAATCTGTGAGGCAGGCCGTCAAGTCTCTTTTAAGAGTGAACTGAGATCTGTCTTTCAACAGGGCGTTGGCAGTGGCGGGTCCAAAGAAAATATGTGTGGTGGGGACGGTGTTTCGACACAAAATTACGAGGTGCAGTGATTGAAACAGATCAAGACTCCTATCAGATGTATTTGTTGAATGCCTCTATCTCTTTATACGTGTCATTATTTTATACGACAGATGAGAATGAGGATGAGGAAGGAGCCTGTTGCTGACCTTTGAACCTTTGTTACATTCATTAATTTCCTACGACATGAGCAAGGTTTATGTTTTCATTTTTTGCTGATATAAAAGACTCACCTGGTTGCTTTTCAACCTTATACTTTTAAAGCTTATATTATAATAATTTTTTGTGCTTTCATGAAATTCAAGAGACAAACATCCCAAAATTGTTTAAGTTCATCTGTTCCAGTCCCTGATTCACCTGGTTGCTTTTCAACCTTATACTTTTAAAGCTTATATTATAATAATTTTTTTGTTCTTTCATGAAATTCAAGAGACATACATCCCAAAATTGTTTAAGTTCATCTGTTCCAGATTCTGACGTCTTTGTTTTTTCATTACAGCTCAAAACTTGTCAAACACGTAACATTTGTTTTGTATTCACGCGGTCGTCATTCAAATGAAAACATTTTAATGGCCGGACGATTCCGAAAGTAAATACAAAAAATCCCGCCAATCAATAAAAAAAAAAAATGTGGGCACACAATAGAAAAAGACATCAGTTTGAAGATAACTGCAGAAAATGAGGATGTCATTCGTAGAATCTATTTCTGTTATGGAATGCACCGGGAGATTTTTTTTTTTATATTTGTGTGAATGCTATTCAACTCTTCTCATTCTCATTTCCATGGGATTGATTTGTTCAGGGTATAAACTTGCCATTGTGTTTTAAATATACAATGCTCAAACTTTTCTAATATTTTAATTACGACATCTGGTGTTACTGAAGTTTTTTTTGTCTCCATTGACATCATATATTGCTTCAAAACACACAGTTATTTGTATGACGCGATGAAACGATTTTTTGGATTTCTGAAAAGTGCAACTTGTATCATACGTACTTACAATACTTACAGTGGCGTTATGAGCATACGACAATTATAAAATCGTTAGGACGTGGAAACGAAGACATTTTGTTCAAATGGATCAAAGTAGAAATATGAGTAAACTTACTAGGAACTTGACGTCAATGAGCCAAGATCTCAACGTCATTTTCTGTTTATCTCTCGTCTTGATCATGATAGCCGTGTACACGGTGTGTTCAAACGGAGCCATCCTCGTTGCGATGGTCAATGCTTGGACATGTCATAAAAAACAAAACGCACTCAGAACAGTTAAAAAATACAGCATCAACAAGATGCTGCTAATATCGTTAGCCTTGTGTGATATGTGCTTTGGTTTTCTAATAATGCCATTAAGCGTACTCCAAATCATGCACAACGGACTCTGGCCATTCGGCCGTCCGCTTTGCTACGTTATGAATACAATGGATCTATCCCTGGGTGGTGTTTCGATCCTGCACGTGCTGTGCCTTGCCCTGGACAGGTATCTGGCCATACGCATCCCTCTGAGACACAGGCTGCTGACATGCAAAACAGGATTGATGACGATAGCCTTCTGTTGGGCATTCCCCGTCTTGTTTTCGACATCTCTCATGGGCTATCTCACTTCCCTCTGGAACAACGACAGGACAACAACTCTACAAGACGTGTATCAGCTGTGTTTCATACCTGGTTTCAACCCTAATTTAACGACAACTCTACTGACTCTGTTTCTTTTACTCTACACCGCAACGTTTCTGGTAGTGATGCTCACAATGCTGGAGCTGAGAAGTTTTTTAAAGAAAAAGTTCAAGCCTACGTTTCACTCGCGTGTGTGTCACGCGATTAGAGATGCACGTGCTATCTCTATTTGTAAACTTTCGGTTGTAGCTATATTAAAAAGCGCCACTAACCGTGACGGAAATGATGGCTCGGATTTGAAGTCAGGAAGTTCATCCCGGCAGAACGTCAGTGGACAGATGACTCCGGCAGTGATACCAAGTGAAGGAACACCAACATTTCAGAATCTGGCATCGGCAGCCGGCCCGGCCGTCAGACGAGTGAACAGTAAAGCCATCTTGACAATGTTTTCAATATTCGCGTGCTTCACCGTCTGCTACGTGCCGTATCACCTGTTCCTGATGTTCCCCGACAACTTGCATTCCCACAAGTTAGAGTTTTCGGCCGTAAGTGTATTGTGGCTGAGCTACCTCAACTCGGCCATCAACCCGGCGCTGTACTGCTTAAATAGATCTGCCAGGAAAGCTCTCGTCGAGCTGCTGTGTTACAGACAGCGCGGCGGGAAGGAAAAGCTGCGTACGGGGCTAAGCTGAACGTTGAACTCTCGCTGTTTCTCCAATACATAATATATAACTTTGGCGGATATAAATATAATGATATATATATATATGTGATGATTTTGGTTCATTCCAACTGTTAGCGTCCAGAGTGACTGCCGCCTTTAAAATTTAACAAACTGTTAAATATTAGTCCAATAAATTTAGGATATAGATTTTAATATATATATATATATATATATATATATATATATATATATATATATATATATATATATATATATATTCTTATTTAGTGGTGATTTCATTATCACAAATTCTCAGTTATTATCTCATTTTAGCTTAAAATATACACCTCACAATATGAGAAGAAGTATTTAATTACAGGTAAATGCGTTGACTTTTCGCTTTACCCACAGTATTTAAACAAAATTTAAAGACTTTGTTGCACGCCAAAAAGAAAACAAAACCAGACAAATATTCCTCCATTCACTAGCTTTAAAAAAATACCATATACAAAATATTTGAAATATGAAAACTCAAAATGAAGAAATTTTCACTGCACAATCACTTTACAAATCATAACAGAGGTGAAGTGGTCCAAATTATGACTCATCTTTTATTATAGACAACCACAATACGAAATACATCTCATAAAAATACGAACATACTTGGAACTAACATCATATTAATCTCAATATTTCAATTACTAGCGTCTGGATAATCTTCTTTACTTTCCATTGTTTCTTACTCTTCTCTGATTGGTCAGGTTTCTCAAGTACCAATAATCTGTATATTATATAAGTAATAATTACCATATTACTTATCTCCCATATATTCATATTCATATTTGAGTCAGAAATTAAAAAAAAAATATTTAAAATGAAATAATCAAATGAAACACGCTTAATGTGTGTTTTTTTATAATGGCAAACACATTAACTGCATGTCATGAGATAATAGTGAGGTGGTTTATGGAGGATCAAATGTTTCCTTAGCTGTGTTTCTTCATCGCCATGCCGCTTGTGTATGCAAGACAGTGCCAGATAGTCGACACAGGATGGCGACAATAGCGAAGTGAATGTTTCGGGAATTTCATTGCGCTCAATGTAAGATCTTGTACGGAATCTAATCTTTCGAGGTTAACTTCCGAAGGTTTGATTATGGAGGAAGCAGAGACGAGTAGTCTTCTCTTTAACGATCCACCATCAGAAGTTAGAAAGGTTCTTCGACGGAAAATGACTTGAATTGTGATGACTTTGGGTCATAACTTGGGTCATTTAAAATTTAATCAATATGAATTTTCCTCTTTTTCTTCTATATATTAAGGGCCCACGATCAATTTATTGATCATTTTGGCTCCTTTACCTGTAGAGGGGATTTGCAATGTTTATGTGCCTTGTGTTGACGAGGATATTTCACTATTTGGCAAGTGCCACTTTGTGAGGGAATCTGCACTGGGGGTTTGAAGGCTTGAGGCAATAGACATTATAGTAAAATCAATTTGTCATCCACTACACGTGCCATCATAAAAAAACAAGTGTTGATCAATATCGATATACGGGAAAGGGAATATTTTAGATACGAATTATCACATAGTTCAGTGGCGTGTATCAAGGATGATTTTTTTTTTCATGCCGACGGGCTATTGAACTTGGGTTCTTTCATCAATTTTTTCGTACAAAATGTACATAAATATGAGTGAAAGGAAAGGAAAATCTTAAGTTTGGGATATTGCTCCAATCAGAAGTTAGTCAAAATGCGACACCTGGTGGATGGAATTTACGAGTACAGCAAGTCTCAAAGGCACAAAATGATACAAACAAAGCAATTTTAGCCAATAGTTTATTCCCCCTTATATTTCCAATTATCAGCATGTTATATGTTCTGTATAATCTTCTTAAATGGCACACAATAAAGCTATGTTAAAACTAAACGCTATAACAAACAACCCATCAAACGTCCTATTCATCAATATGTAGTATGTCCCTTGCTTTCAATTAGTTGTATGTCTTAAAATAAAATAAAATTTGATCATCACTTGTTCAGATTTCAAATGTTCATCCATGTATCTGGCTTTTGTAAAAATTTAGTTACTAGATAAAGGTGAAACTTTGTTCATAGGTTATGGCTGTTTGTATCACATAGGTACCAACACGGATTGATAGATCGTAATCTAACTCCTGCATATATAGTTTTTACATTTCATTTTTCAGCAGGAAATACTGACTGACTGGGTTTGAATTTATCACCCAAAAAAAAATCTACAGTGCAACAATTTGAGGCCTACTGAACTTTAGTATTTCCTGCTGGTGTGGGAATTCATCGTCTGACACCAAGCAATGATTAAACAGACTAATCAAGAAAGCTGGCAATAGCACACATACTAAACATCCTTCACTTGAAGAGGTATTGGAAGAAAAATGCTGTCGTGAAACTAAGAAAAAATATTTTGAATAATATGAACTGCGTGGCATTTATTATTCAAAATATTTTTTTTATCAAATTTTTTTTTTTTCAAAATCCCACGCAGTTCATAAAGGGGTAACAAAGATCAGCTCGATCAGGGTTAATTTTTTTTTCTCTTATAGTATGATCAAAAGAAATAAAAACATATTTTGTTCCGCAATCTGAAATAATTGACCAGCGCACTCCCTCCGTGGTTAACAGATATGAGTGATCATTAAATGCGTCATTACTATCTGATTTCTACGCCATAGTAATACTTTAGATATCTTGTGTTTAAATTGCTATAATTGTAAATTGTTGTCTTGGTTAAATACACATGTATTTTTTCTCTGACAATGAATATGTACATTGAAATAAAAATATAGTTCAATTTATTTGGACCAAGAAAATAATCTTATCTTATCCATCACGTTTAGAGCCATGGGCAAAAATTTCGTCCCTCCCCCCCCCCCCATTTAGAACAGGTATACTACTTAAAATACAACTAATAGATAGATCTACATCAAACTTGGCACACATGCACCTGAATATCTATTTTGAAATACAAGGTTTTTAAACTCATAAATTCACCCCTTTCGTGGTCAGGGTCCCAAATATCATTTTCTATTTAAGATTTGTAAATACCACTATGCCTAGATACCAAAATAGGTTTCTACGTTAAGTGATATATGCAGGCCAAACTTTGTAGCATACCCTTTATATACCTAATTAAAATAGCGTTGGATTCTAAAAGATACATTTTCACTTCTAGGGGCTTTATATTTGTCTAGAATTTTCCAAAAAAAATAATATTTTTAGATACAGATATATAGAAAATTACACTGGGATCTAAAAGTTAATGAAAAGTTTAGTGTAGTTTTATAGATTATTATATTTTTTAAAAGAATTTCCTCGATAACGGTGTATTTATCTTTATCTAAGTCTCGTGAATCTTTTGCTAATTTAAAAACTGTCAATTTTTGTAAGGCTTCTTATGTCCTTTTTATATTTCTTATGTTTCTAAAAGTCTCTATGATTTTCCTTAAAATTTCAAGTTTCCAGAATGTTTCAAAAGAGTATAGGAGGAGTTACGATGTATTTTTGCTTATAGTAGCCAAAATCATACACGAAGACTTTGTGTATATGGTAAGATTCGACATGAAGTGTTTCCATTGGACAAAACTGTGGTAAACATACCTGCTAAAGCCCCTTTTATAATATCGGTGAATTTAAAGCTAATAATATCTATAAATTTTTGGGGTCAGGGACCACAACTTTAAATGAAAAATGAAATGAATATTTTTGAAGGAAAAGCTTTATCTGTCACCTCTTTAAACCGATTTTAATGGCGAACGAGGACATTTGAAAAAAAAAATTGTTTCTTTATAAAAACGGACTGCTGTAAAATATTAAAAAATGACATCCTTATAATGACGGCGTCGGCCTCACTAGAAAAAATTTAAAAGGCAACACTTTTGGTGAATTCCACACGATGAAATCGTGATGTATTTGAAAACTGTTCTGGAATATTTACCTGGAATATTTATGTGAATGATTTTTTTTACAAAGAGACCCTATCTGAGAGATAATTAAAATGACTCTTTTTTTTTTTTTTGGAAGGGTCTCTCTCAGAAATCCTATTTTATTGTATCTAATAAACAGCCACATTTTTGGCATTGAACAATTACTTTGGTCTTTTAATTATTTTTTTGGGGCTGTGCACAGCTTGAGGAGTAATTGAAACTGTTCTTATCACTTAATTCAATGTTTTAAAATTCGGGATGTTTATATAAAGAGACAATTTAAATTTTGTATGGTACTTGAGCAAAACGTTTCTGACAGGGCCCTATATAATGTGTGCCTTGATGTTGGTCAGCTTTAAAAGTTTGTCCCGAATGAAAACCCGAGCAATTCCGGGCACATTGGCTAGTCTGTAGTGTAATGAAGTGTTAAATTCTAACTTTATTTCATATTAATACGATTACTTTAAATTTATATTTATAATAAAGTGTCATATTTAATTTAGTAATGAACCTGTTTCATAACTAATCTAAATTTTAATACTAAAAAAGTGTTAATTAATTTAAGGCATTAAAAAAAAGTTACTGTTCTTGTTCATAAATCACATCATTAATATATATTTATATATTTTTAAAAAATTTGCTCCATTAATTCGCTTTTAGTGTGTATGTCAAGGGCTTCAGATAATACCTTGAACGACAGAGTCCACCACCCATGATATTCCCAAATCTCATCATCTACTCAAAGTCTTATCCCTTATGTTCATCTCTCCGTTTGGACCTTCCGAGGAATAGCTTAACCGCGCGCCTCACGGAATGGTTAGTACAACAAAGTATGGGATTGAAGACCGCCGTGGAGTAGCCAATCCAGAACAGTATCATCATCTCGACGTAGTCCAGCATGACGAGATAAAACAAAAATATGGAAATCCACCAAGGAAACCAGCAGACCGTGAAACAAAACAGCAGACATCCGACGGTTTTGTACGCTTTGGTGTTTCTGTTTGAGTGGCTGTTAGCTTGGCTCGGGCCGTGTCCTTCTAATAGATGCTGGCTGCTTAGATGTCCTTGTGGTGTGGCCGTGGGTGTGGCGGTTCGCGAATCTCCTGTGTTAATCGGTGTTCCTACACTACCAGATGACGGCGGTATCATGTATATTGGGATGATCTCTTGGAGCGTCCGTGTGGTCTCTGTGAAAACGACCTGACTTGAAATCTGGCTTACGCGTTTCCGGTTCCGCTTGTGGAACTTCTTAACCTTAATAACGATGCCGAAATACAAAGCGTACGCAAGCACGAAAGGCTAAAAGAAACCCAGGACGGCCAGTGATATTTGCAGGTACTCCGTCCATGGTTTGGGTTTTCGCAATTTATTCTTAGTCATGTCGGGCTTCTCACCGTCGATCATGTTCAAAGCCGTGAAGCAAATCGCCGGAATCACCCAGGACGTGAAGATCATCACATACCCGGTCCTGTTGGTCAAGACCCTGTACAACAGGGCTTACAAATAGCTATGTACTTGTCCAGGGCTATGGTGGTCACGTGATACACGGACACAGAGCACATGATTTTATGCAAGGTCAGTCGAGCAGCGCATAGCCCGTCTCCCAAGATCCACTTCCCGTTCTCGGCGATCTCCAGCGTGCCCAGGGGCATCAAGATGGAGCTGTAGAGAAGATCGCTCGCCGCCAGGGAAAGCATCAGCAGGTTGGTGATTTCGTTTTTATTTCTGGCCGTGTTGTAGATCTGGGTGCGTCGCCTTTTGAAAAACAGGTAGTAGGACAGGACGAAGATGAAAGTAGTGTTGAGGCAAAACGCTGCGGCCGTCAGCAGGAAGAACATCACCGATGAGAAGGCGACCCAGTGTGTCTGAGAAAACATGGCGCTTTTATACTCTTCTATAGCCACCTGACGCAGTTGACATTGAGAGAAATTCATCGTAAATTTGTAATAGGATATTTGGACAGGTGAATTTTTGTAAAAGTTCTTATAATATAAAAAACAAAAAAATAATAAATGTATTTGCTTGCAGTTGATTTCGAATTCTTCCTCTCCAGTTTTACACGTGATTTGAATTTCAGAGCGTGGCGATTTGTCTAACTCGAAAATAGTGGATAACTAATGTAAAATCTGATAGTTTGTGCCACTGGTTATAATTTTTCTTTCTCTGTTCTTTTTACTAAAATAAAATTGCTATTTTCGAAGTTCGTTCATTTCCACGGGATGTAACTATTATTATAATTATGTTAAAATACAAGCCTGCTAAATTTCCTTGATTAAAAAATTCCAAATAGGAAATAATTTTGGTTCGTTATATCGTTTCAAATGAAGCACAGCCAATATACATTTTAAATTATCCTATAAAACTTATATATCGCATTGCAGCCAAGGAAAGAACCGAAGATCTAAGGCGTCCAAATTTCAAATGCCAAATTTTAGAAACGGAGACCTTAAATCCGGCTGCAATCCTAACAGAAATGAGAACCAGAGGGAAAAAAACTGAATTGGTGTGTGAACAAAAGTGAGACAGAGGTACTAACAGGCTACTACTACTGTATTGGTGGGGATTTAATCGATTGAGTCTACTGAAAGGTATTCATTAGCATTTGTTTGCCTACTTCAGTACCGCACTCTTGGGTTGGTTAATTCTGAGAAGAAGTGGGTGGGATTTTAGTCAAGTTTTAAATTGTCGCTGTCGCTTGTTATTTTTACTGAACATAAACTTCAATACAATTTTTTTTTAAACAATTTTCTTTGTCTTCTTGTTTTCTTTAAATGTTTGAATAAATACATGTTGAAGGTTCCTGACTATATATATATATATATTTTTACTCATATCATTGCAAATGTATGCTAAATTTTAATGTAGAGTCTAGGGAATTTCATTAAGAAATTTGAAAATTATTGATGTCGTGACCTTTTGCTTTGCATAGAATTTTTACCGTCATTGTGGAAAGTTCACTGTCAGCTATATATTAAAGGATAGAAGAAAGAAGATGGTAGGGGAAAACAAGACAGAACTAAAGAACCATCCGATTGGTATCAGGCGTGCACACGCAGTCACTTTTCAAAGGTTATAAGTGCATAGTTTACTGGGGAAAACAACACCATCGCAGTAGAATTCGATTTCACAACTGATTTATCTGCGAGATGGTTGGGCTTGTTGCGCCATTGCCAGACAGAAGTGAGGGTAAAGAACTAATTTTGAGTGAAATATACTGGAGGGGGGAATTCTGGGGAGAATTGTTTGGAAGGCACCAAAGATATCCTTTGTAAAAAAAATGTTTCAAAAAGTACAGGTGTTTCTATGGACTCACCCGTGGGACAACTGAAGTGGAAACACTCAGCTGGTGTGCTGAAAGAATAAAAACAAGCAAAGATTGTTTTAAAAAGTGTGCTCTATTCCTGTAAATTGACCCCAACTCATGGTACACATTAGCAAACTCGTGTGAGGCCATCTCTCAAGCTGATCACAATTCGCAAAGAGTAACCGCACCGCTTAAGCACTGAGAAAGCTCACTGGAAAAGCAGAATTACCTCCAATAACACAACGACCCCAAAAGCCATATTATTTTCTACGTACGAGAGAGCTTTGAAGGGCAGCCATTCTGTGTAGTCACACCCCTCTCTAGAACGATAATATTGACCTATGAATAAGAATTCATATTCTCTATAAAACCCTTAGAAAATTCTAAAAGATTTTTGTAGATCAATTTCTGTATTTTCGGTCCTTATAATTTAAGGTATAAGCTCCTTCTTCATCGTCCTCATCTAAACTCAGTGTTATCGAATCTGTGCGATAAGCCCCAAAAAGTATTGCTATTCATCATGATACGTTTATGTGTGTTAAATTCCCACAGCTATGAAAGTGTACAGGTCAGTCGGAGTAGGGTGCCGAGGTTGCCGACAACTAAATATGAAATGGACAGGGCCAGGTAAAGGTGGGGAGTGGATACATGTGATAGTGGAATGTATACATGTGATGGTGGAGTGGATAAAGTTGATTTGGAATAAAGAAAGTTGATGATGGAGTGGATAAAGTTATTGGTAGTGGGGATAAAGGTCACGGTTGAGTGGATAAAGGTCATGATAAAGTGGGTAAACATCACAGTGGAGTAGATAAGGAGAGACTGCTCGCTTCAATTCGAAGAAATTCTGTAGAGTGGTCGGAACAGGTTGCTATGATGTTAACATTTTTTCATCTTGTTTCCGGCCTGACAGAGACAATCGGTTTTAATGTTTGATTAAGTTCGTGGATGAAGAGAAGACCTGACATAGGTGAATATAGAAGAAATGAGAATTAAAGGGGCTCAACATGTTTAGCGACCAGAAGGAGAGCGTTGACACCGCCGTGGATGACAGACGTCAACATTCAGGTTTAAACTTCAAACGTGAAGTTCTAGTTTTTGTATAGACGCGTCTATTGAACTTGGGTTTAGCTGACAGCTCCGAAGAGTTAAAATAAAGACTGATATTGCACGTGAAAATTAAATGATAGAACGGCACTTGGAACACACACACACAAAGTTTATTGCTTCGTTTGTCTTGTTTGTTCTGAAGTTACCGCTCCCAATTAGGAGTATACCGTTGACTGCGTTGGCAATGCAGCTTCTGATCAGATCCTTATATGTTTGTCGTCATGACAAGAAGTACCGGAACTCGGTCCTGATGGTTAAACAAATAAAAGCGAGGCTGTAGAACATTAGAATTGGTCCCATGAGAAACTAGATGGCAAAAGTGTGAGCAACATGCTCATGTGAGTGCTACGAAATAAAATAGAAATACGTATTGTCGGGTTGGGGGGGGGGAGGGAGAGTAAATGAAAAGTAAATTAATATATTTTTTTTTAAAACTTTGACAATTGGTATTGTTCTCCACCGGCCAGATTGATATAGGTGCCTCCTGCTAGCTTGTGATCAAGCAAAGTTCAGAGTCGATTATCTCAAACGAATGTTTGGAATATTGTGACATACTTGTCATAAACCAGATCACTGCTTTGATAGTTCGGCATCGATTAACAGGAAATTAAACGAACGACACCTTGTCCTACAGTTTTGCGGCGTCAATGCAATTGATAAGATTTCATGGCTTTTGTATGGCTACATCATTTCTTTACCAGGAAGGAGAGTACTAGAGTTTGAGGGAAGCGACATGAGTCAAGAAGTTTGGCTCTTCTTTCTTTTTTTTTTTGTATGGTTGCTTTGCTGCTACTATGTTGTTACTCTGTCTGTTGCCACACTCTGTTGTTACTTTTGCATTTGCGGTAAGTGTTGACAACGTGTTGAGAGAGAATTGGTGACCTTAGGTTTCGTGTACAATCAAACATGCAATTACGTTCTAATAAAATGTGTAAACGCAACTTTCCCCGTCACTTCCGCCCCTCGCACCACCACCCAATCCAAGAAGACTTAAGTTAACAACTCACAGCTCCATGATCTCAGTAAGGATAACCGGCTCCACGCAAACCAACGTGTAATTCTGTCGGCAAAAATATCTAATGGTAAAAAATTATATGCTTTAAACCTGAGCGGCTGATAGGGGAGGGCTGGGTGGCCGAATTGTCTAAACCTTGTTGGGGGTCTTGAGTTCAATCACTACCAAAGCCCACTCAAGCGAAGTCATCACCGGCACCCCGGGTGAATGGGACCTGTTAACCTTGGATGGCGACCAATCTAAGAGAAGGAAACTCTGAACTTAAACCCGTAGAAGTTCCGTAGACGAATTATACTAATACAATGAAACATAATACAATGACGAATCTTGCAACGCTAGTGGTTCCAAGCTGTATCATCCACATATGTTTTTGCCTTGTGTCATCCTGTTGCGTGGAGAGAGGCGATTTGATGTGCACGGAATCAGCTTATATAGAATAAGAAGAACCCCAGGCCTTGAGGACCTCGTCCTGTGAAGTCTACACCATCACAAGTCTACACCATCACAAGTCTACACCATCACAATAGTCTACACCATCACAAGTCTACACCATCATAAGTCTACACCATCACAATAGTCTACACCATCACAAGTCTACACCATCACAAGTCTACACCATCACAATAGTCTACACCATCACAATAGTCTACACCATCACAAGTCTACACCATCACAAGTCTACACCATCACAAGTCTACACCATCACAATAGTCTACACCATCACACGTCTACACCATCACAAGTCTACACCATTACAAGTCTACACCATCACAATAGTCTACACCATCACAAGTCTACACCATCACAATAGTCTACACCATTACAATAGTCTACACCATCACAATAGTCTACACCATCACAAGTCTACACCATCACAATAGTCTACACCATTACAAGTCTACACCATCACAATAGTCTACACCATCACAAGTCTACACCATCACAAGTATCCACCATCACATTGTCTACACCATCACAAGTATCCACCATCACATTGTCTACACCATCACAAGTCTACACCATCACATAATCTTCATTATTAACACTGTGATGGGCGGATGCAAGCAAAAAAATTTATAATAAAAAATAACCTAAGAGATGAGACACATCCAACTTTGAGAACATTCAAGGATCCAAGTTGCATATACATTTTTATTAAGACGCTAAAAGCAGCCTATGCTAATTACAACTGATATGTCATTATTTTAATTTAAAAAATAATTTGAACGTTTTACGGAATCTCAAATACCAAAAGATGATTTCATTATTTTCCTCTGCTCAATCATTAATTTAATTAATTTAGT